TTTTCTGTTTTTTTAATTGAACTTAAACATTATTTATTAACAATTCAATCCTCAACCAACCAGAGAGCAGAGTCAACAATATGGGCTTGAAATCAACTTGGACTTTTGGATTACCTCTTAAATTAATATTCTGTAATGTCATTCTCTTATTTCATCTGATGCTCCCCCTGGTCAAGTATTATTATTGTTTGACTGTGTTATGTTCACAATACAATTGTATTGTTGTTTATTGGAATAAATAAAGTTAAAAAAAAAAAACAGACCGCATTATGACCTTTAGCTTAGAGGAAAACTGCGTCACACAGAGAGACGCAGTTAAGGGTGCGGCCCGCTAGGGGGCGATGCTATTTCACACTGAGAAACACTGACGTTATGACGGAACCGGAGGGAGGAATCTAAACCTGCTGGGGAAGATTTAGCATGTTATGGGGACACAACAGCACAAACAGCCACCAGATGACGCTTGTTCTTCACTCCAGTTTGACTTCTGGAGATCTTTGTTGTGTTCAGGAGCCAATATGGCTTCCTGCCTGCAACTTTCACCTCAGTTTCCCAGACAATTAGCAACTGGATTGTCCAGAAAACATAACGAGCTTCTGACTCCTCCCAGGCTGCAGGACTCAGCGCTCTGCTTCCCAACGCTGCAATCACAAACATTCTCGTTCCTGAAGAAGAAAACGCTCCGATGTTGAGGTTTCTGAGCAAACTGCAGGATTCAAACCGCCGTCAACAGCAGCAACAAGCGGTGTCCCCATATCTTCCCCAGAAGTTCTTACTGATGCTGCGTTCTGTTTCACTTTACAGCAATCACTGCTGCAAAGTGCCACGTTTGTTGCTAGGAGACGGTTTGTACCGCATCACGCTCCGGTTGATTCCAGCGTGGAACAGATGAGGTTTCTACCTGAACCTGCAAGTTGTGATCCAGACGCTAATCTGGAGCAGATTATTCATTCGCAGGTGAAGAAGAACAAGAAGAAACCCTGCAGCTCATTAATCCCTCACATGAGTTTCTGGATTATAATAATCTGGTTTAATGACATCAACGTATAAACTGCTTTCACAGAAAGCTATTTGTTCAGCCAGCTAATCGCCTAGCCTGCAGCTAATCACCTAGCCTGCAGCTAATCGCCTAGCCTGCAGCTAATCGCCTAGCCTGCAGCTAATCGCCTAGCCTGCATCTAATCTCCTAGCCTGCAGCCATCAGATGACCGAGCAGCTCTGACTCAGGAGAGATGAGGACATTTCGAACCGACAGACTTTGTTGCCTGTCAGATGTTTGCTGGGCTGCATGTTAGGGAGTGAAAGGGTTAGGGTTGGGTAGGGGTTGAGCCAACCCTAAAGGGTTGAGCACACTTCCTGTCTTCCTGAACATTTGCAACTTCGATGGATCAGCTCAGGTCGTTTCTTGTAGTTTCCATCATGATGCCTGGGCAAAATGCATGCCACACTTTTCAGATTTTTGTTTTTAAAGATAAAACCAGCTTCCTGTTGATTTATCACATAAAATTCCACTAAAATAAAGATCTGTCAGGTGCCAGACGGGTTTGGCTCTGAATTATAATTGTTTGTATTTTTAAGAACAGAATAACTAAAACCTGAGATGAGGAAAGTTCTGTTCGTCTGGTTCTATGGGTTTGGTTCTGTCCAGAACCGCCTGCAGATCCAGTTCAGTTCTCAGAGGAAGAGAAAGAGAGACGTGACGAAGGTGACAGGTCAGCCCAGAACCTCTGGCTAGACCTCACAGGTCTGCCAGAACCGGGCCCAACAGAACCAGCGATGGTAAAACTGGAGCTGAACATCATGAAAACAACAGAAAGAGCCAGAAATGTTCTCCTGCTGCTACGCCGCCCCCTGGTGGCCGCTGCCGGAACTGAAGGCAGAACCACCGGCTGGACCGGATCCCGTCCTCCAGTAGAACCCAAAGACTGCAGCCGAGGAAGAGATCCAGTCGGATCACTTTAATGGATCCGACTGGATCCACCGTGGCTGACAGACGACCGAACAGAACCAAGATGGAGCAGCCTTTGACTGGACCAGATGGTCCATTTGTACTCCAGCTGGACCCAAACCGGGTCAGAACAGAACCAGGAGCCTCCACAACAGAACGGCCAAGTGAAAATCCAGCCATGAATCATCTGAAAGCCTGAGGTGTGACCTGATGATGTTCATCTGATTTGAAGACAAGCCACACTTTTCAGATTTTATCCATGAATCGATCTGATTGGCTCGTCACATTACAGGCAGAACCGGGTTCTGTTCAGGTCCAACGGGGTCAGAACGGGCTCTGGTTCTGCTCAGGCTGCTGCTGTCACAGCAGCTGACTTAGAACACAACCCAGAGGATTTGGGTCGAGGCCGGAACCGGGTCAGCCGGAACCGGGTCAGCCGGAACCGGGTCGCCCCACATAGACTAAGGAAAGGCCAACCTGTTTGCTCAGCAACCAGAACCGAGCCATTATCCTGACCCAAGATGGAGCTCAGCAAGGTTGTGATCTGATTCTGGACAGAACTCCAGATTACCGGTTCTGAGCCTCCAGAACCGAGTCGGACAGGTCTGCAGTGTTTTGGGCTGCTCAGTGAAGTGTGCCACTTTGGTTCTGTTGGGAAACATTCTGAGCCAGGCGGACCGAGCCTCAGAACCAGAATCATGAACCGTCCTCTGGAGCCGACCCGATTCTGACCCGGTTCCAGTTCTATCAGCTTAGCTGGTCCAGAACTTAGATTTCAAAATAAAAGCCAGTCTATTGAGACAGAAACTCAGCTGCTAACAGCCTGGGTGGACCTAGCCCCGCCTTCAAGGCGCAGCTCCTCCCCCACTCAGCTCCTTCAGACTAGCCGGCAGCAATTAGCAACCAGCTGCTGAGCTCAGAGTGACTCTGGTAAAACCACTAAAGGGTTAATAGAGGAGCCATGTTGCATGACTTCCTGGAGGCGGAGCTTCTTAAAGAGACAGACGCCCAATTTCAGTTATGAAGCTGCACTGATTTTATATAGAAAACATTTTTATAACAATTTATAACTGGTTGAAACGTAGTTACTATGGAAACACAATGCTGGCCCTTTAAGAGGTCAGTCAGAACCGGAACCATCTCTGGTCCTTAAAGCTTTCTGCATTCCACTCACTAATCTGTAAATAATCTGGACATTCATCAAAGCCGCCATGTTTGCTCTACTGCTGCGTCTGAAGCCCCCATGCTGTCACCCTGGCAACACGCCAGCCGCGCTGCACCATCAGTCGCATTCAGTGTCGCATGCTGCAGCAGGATCAGCTGCAGCAGGATCAGCTGCAGCAGGATCAGCTGCAGCAGGATCAGCCGCAGCAGGATCAGCTGCAGCAGGATCAGCTGCAGCAGGATCAGCTGCAGCAGGATCAGCTGCAGCAGGATCAGCCGCAGGGAGGGGGCGTTGTGGGAAACCCAGCCCGTACCTTTAAGAGAGCTGATCTCATGCTGGATGGAGCGGGCGGGGTCCATGTCCTCCGGACCGGCTCTGTGGTTCTGACCGGTCCTGGTTCTGCTGCTGCTGCTCAGCCGTGGCTCTGATGGAGTCAGCAGGGTGGAGAGCAAACCTCCTCCCCCCTCCCCGGCCTGCTGCTGCCCCGCCTACAGGAGGGGGGGCGGGGGGAGGCGGGGGGAGGGCTGCGTCTCTGAGCATCAGCCAATGAACTGGCAGAATCGGAATCACATGATCAGCATCTGAAATGTGCAGAATTATTTTTATTTCATTCCAGAATAACAGAGATAATCTCTGGGATTATTTGATCAGTTTGGAGCTTTTGAGCAATTTGACAGATTTAATCTGAGTTCATGATTGATCAACTTCCATGGACCGGACCCAGCAGAACCATCAGAACCAGCGCCACACCTTGGGTCGTTCTCACACCTGGAAGTCTCCATCAGATTATTTCAAATTATTTTGAAATGCTTCTTCATCTTCATCACTACTCTTCCTCATCTTGACAGGAATCAGTTTTATCTCCAAATAGAAAATGGATCAATAATCAATGAGGATCCAGTTTCAGCTGCACCAGAGCCCCCAGTAACAAACCAGTAACATTTGCACTGTTACTGGTTTGGCCTGAGCTGGCAGTCTGGACTCCAGTTTGGACCGGACCGGACCGGACTGGACCGGACCGGGACAGCTCAGGTCCATTAATGAAGAGAAGCTACCAGGTTCTGCTGCTTCATTAACTGCTGGTTTCAGTTAGCTAGTAACTAGTTAACTTAAACAGCCAGTTAACTAGTTCTGTGGTTCTGTGGTTCTGACCACAGAACCACAGAACTAGTCAGGGTAGTTCAGTTGTTAGGGTTTCAAACAGTGCATACCCAGCTAACTAGCTTGTTAACTAGTTAGCTGCAGAAAACTTTCTCCTTCCTAATGCAGATTAATGAGGATCATCATCATCACGGTTCATTGAACCAGGATTAAATTCCTCCAGATTAATAATCTGCTGTTTTCCTGCAGCAGGTTCAGGAAATGTTGAGGTGCCGCCTGCAGAACTATTTTGGAACGTCGGATTCGATTTCATGGAACTGATCCGCAGTCAGACACACTGAGCCTCCAACACGGACCATCATGCACTGCTGCTGCAGCACAGGAGAACCAGACCTGCTGCGGCTGGTTCTGCAGAACCTTCTCTGTAGACCAACAGTCAGAATAGAACCAGGATCCAAACAGCACAATGGCCTAGTCAAAGTTCAGACCTTCTGCATGTATCTCCAGAACCGGATCCCACCACCAGAACCCGGCTGTTTCTAAGTTTAATCGGAATAATCCAGGTTATTCTGATTAAAAGTTAAAGGTCAGTCAGAACCAGAGAAAAACTCAGCAGCAAACAGAACCAAGAGCTGTTTACCCAGCAGAACCTCGAGACCTGATACCAGAACCCGACCGGAACCAGAAGCCGACCAGGTCCAATAAGGCCCAGGAGAGAGAAAGTTCTGCTTCTGCAGTTCAACTCATCATGAGATCACGACGCGACACAAGAAGCAACAAACTGGCTGCACTAAACAGCAGCTTCCTGTTTAATAAAGTTTGAATTGAAGCGAATTCCTCCAGACCAGCAGGGGGCATCGAGCGCCAGATCATCCAGAACCGGACAGAATCTCTAGGAGAAAGTGGGAGAAAGGAAGAAATGTGGTTTACATTCAGAACATAAGGATATTTACCTGATACGACCTGCTGCAGACGCCCCCTACAGGCCTGGAGGATCCGTCTATTTCCTACAGGCCACCTTAGCGTTAGCATAAACCTCACTGATAAAGCCAGAAAGCAGCCTTCTGAAAATCAATAACTGATATTACATTGTGATGAGCGGCATCATCTAAATCACCTACATCCGATTATTGATCAAGTCGATTCCAGTCAACTGGGTTTGTAGACGTAAAGGAACTCAGGGTTTTAACTGCTTTTTAGTTTTCTGTTTCAGATCTGTGGTGAATAGAAGCTGAATGCTGCTTCTCTGAACCAGAACCAGAACCAGAACCAGCAGGTTGATCCAGCAGCAGCTAAAGATCTTTAATCCGTTCAGTGATTCATAAGTTAGAAACAGTTTAAAGTCTCTGAGTGAAGAACTGAAGAACCAGGTGGTGCCGATCCTCCTGGTTCTGGTCAGAACTCCAGCAGCAGGTTCTGGACCAGCAGCAGGTTCTGGACCAGCAGGAGGTTCTGGACCAGCAGCAGGTTCTGGACCAGCAGGAGGTTCTGGACCAGCAGCAGGTTCTGGACCAGCAGGAGGTTCTGGACCAGCAGCAGGTTCTGGACCATCAGAACCAGAAACAGCAGAACCAGAACAAACAGAACCATCAGAACCAGAACCAACAGAACCATCAGAACCAACAGAACCAGAACCATCAGAACTAGAGCCAACTGAACCGGGACCATCAGAACCAGCTCAAGTCCATTAGCTGTTTCATCCCTGGAGGACCAGGAATGAAACTTTGCTGTAGAATAGAACTCATCCAGACTGGCCAGAACCAGAATCAGCTCCATCTGGACCCGTTTGGCCTGGTTCCCTCCACTGCACCACGCCTCAGAGGTTCTTTCAGAACCGAGCAGAACCTCAAATTACCTTTATGTTTCTCTCTGACGTTCTCGTAGGCCCGGACAAATTCCTGCTCCTCTGGCTGGTGCTGACCCGCTTCAGGTACCGGCAGGGACATGACCCGGCTGGGTCTGGACCGGGTCTGGATCTGGATCATGCCGGGTCAGGATTCTCTCGCCTCAAACTTTCCTGTTTCAGAACCAGTTGACCCGTTTCTCCTCAGTGCTGTTAAACCCCCAGCTGTCGGCCTCTCTCTCTCTCTCTCTCTCTCACACACACACACACACACACACACACACACACACACACACACACACACACACACACACACACACACACACACACACACACACACACCCTGCCCGCTCTTAAAGGCACAGCGCCCAAAACATAGAAACACGACGGGCTGACAGAAAGCAGAGGCGGAGCAGCGAGGGGTTCTTCTACTTCCTGTTTCCAGCAGAAGCTGAATGGACACCAGCGCTGGGGAGAACCTCCAGCTGGTCCTCGAACAGACCCAGATCTATGGACTCTATACTGGGGGAGCCATGAAACCGGGTCAGAACCAGAACCTGACACCAGACGAGACAAACTCCTTCAGCTGATTTTAAACTTTCTCCCAGATCCTTGGGAGGTTCTGGTTTCTTCTTCTTCTGCAGCAGACGTGATTCGTTAGAGGAACCTGTGGTCCAGTTCCGGCTGAACAGAACCGGTCTCTGATTGTCTGGCAGTCCGGTAGACTCAGTCCTGGTCAACCAACCTGTTCTCCTCCAGGCCTGTGGGGGCGCTGCACCGAGAACCACTGACGGAAACAACACAAAAACTTCAGAACCCATAACCACAACCAGCAGCAGAACCTTTCTGACCACTGCAGATCAACGCGTGAGACTGCAGCATCGCATTATTTGCTGCAGACGGTGAAAGTTTTCCCACAGTGACAGTCAGAGGGTTTCCTGTAGCTCTGGGCTGCCAAACTAAATCACTTTAGACACAGAGCTGAGATAAATGCAACATTCCCATCAAAAATGTGGGAACTATTTCAGCATGGAGCGATCTGATTGGCTGAGTGGAGAAGCTGGCTTAGGGTTGCCTTGGCTCAAAATTGACCTTTTGAGTTCAAAGGTGAAAATGTCCTCATGGATCTGGAAGCAGCCTGCTGCAGTTTCTGATCATGATCCACCACAAGTCAGTTAGCGCATGCTAAGGTTTCACATGATTAGCTTTAGCGCATGCTAAGGTTTCACATGATTAGCTTTAGCGCATGCTAAGGTTTCACATGATTAGCTTTAGCGCATGCTAAGGTTTCACATGATTAGCTTTAGCGCATGCTAAGGTTTCACATGATTAGCTTTAGCGCATGCTAAGGTTTCACATGATTATCTTTAGCGCATGCTAAGGTTTCACATGATTATCTTTAGCGCATGCTAAGGTTTCACATGATTAGCTTTAGCGCATGCTAAGGTTTCACATGATTATCTTTAGCGCATGCTAAGGTTTCACATGATTAGCTTTAGCGCATGCTAAGGTTTCACATGATTAGCTTTAGCGCATGCTAAGGTTTCACATGATTAGCTTTAGCGCATGCTAAGGTTTCACATGATTATCTTTAGCGCATGCTAAGGTTTCACATGATTAGCTTTAGCGCATGCTAAGGTTTCACATGATTAGCTTTAGCGCATGCTAAGGTTTCACATGATTATCTTTAGCGCATGCTAAGGTTTCACATGATTAGCTTTAGCGCATGCTAAGGTTTCACATGATTAGCTTTAGCGCATGCTAAGGTTTCACATGATTATCTTTAGCGCATGCTAAGGTTTCACACGATTAGGTTTAGCGCATGCTAAGGTTTCACATGATTATCTTTAGCGCATGCTAAGGTTTCACATGATTAGCTTTCGTGCATGCTAAGGTTTTATGTGATTAGCGTTACCTTTTACTAAATTTTTATAGCTGAAGCATACGATAAAATTATTATTGATAAGACCATTAGTAGTGAAGCTAGTTAGCTGTGGCTAATAGCAAACTATTAGCTAATATTAACCACATGATTGTGTTCTACATTACAGTCATGGCGGCCATATTGAAAGATGAGAAACATCTTTAATGTATGAAGGCTAAAAATAGAATCTCCAGCTTGGATTTTCATGTAAATCAAAGTTTAAATAGTTTTTTAAAACAGAAAAGAACTAAAACATTCAATGCTTCCAATCCCCAAAAGCCCGGCAGAACCAGGACCCAGTAGAACCAGGACCCGGCAGAACTGTTGTTCACCTAGAGCAGAGTAGAACCGGCCTCGCTCCAAACGGACCGAACTAAATCAGAGTCTGGGTTGGAAATGTTTCATTTTGCTGTGAAATAAAAACAGAAACTGGAGGGAAGAAAGAGGTCAAAGGTCAGAGGAGCCTCTGAGTCTCTCTGAACTTCCTCCTCCCTCCGGTCCAGTCCAGTTCTCTCTGTAATTAAACCCGACCAGCACCATTCCGTCCTGTGCAGGAAGAAAGGAGCAGCCTGCCGGACCTGCATGCTGATGTGCTCGAGGTTCTGGTTCTGACCAGATCCAGCTCCACATGCTGACCCCTGGTGGCGGTCCTGATTACTGCAGTGAGGTGAAAACCCAAACCTGGGTCTACAGTCCTTCACTGGGCTGCTATGAACCAGAACCAGAACCAGAAGCATGTAGAAGCTGTATTCACCTTCTATGCTCTTCAGATCTGGAACCAACTTCCAGAAAACTGAAAAGCTGCTGAAACCCTGAGCTCCTTCAGCAATTCAGCTGTTAGGGCTGAATTGATTAGTGATTGATGGATTTTACATGTATTGATGGTTTATTGATGGCACTTGACAAAATCTAATATTTATTGCTTTCATTGTTTCATGTTGATATGAAAACGCGACTCAGAACCAAACCAGAACCAACATAGAGAACCTCCAGACTCCATGCAGAAAGATTCCAGACCCACAACCTTCCTACTGCAAGTCAGCAGCTCCACCAACTGGATCATTAATAGAAACCAGAACATTCCAAATATTGACATACCGGCTCAGATACGATCAGTGACTAACCCTGATTAATCAGGGCGCTATGAGAAACGAATGAAATCATCAACACAACAGAAAACAGGAACAAGCTAACAGGAAACCCGCTAACAGAAAACATGCTAACAGGAACAAGCTAACAAGAAAGCCGTTAACAAGAAACATGCAAACAGGAACAAGCTACTACAAAACAAGCTAAAAGGAAACCCGCTAACAGGACGCATGCGAACTGGAAACAAGCTAAGAGAAAACATGCTAACAGAAAACAAGCTAACAGAAAACATGCTAACAGAAAACAAGCTAACAGAAAACATGCTAACAGAAAACAAGCTAACAGGAAACCTGCTAACAGAAAACATGCTAACAGGAACAAGCTAACAGGAAACCCGCTAACAGAAAACATGCTAACAGGAACAAGCTAACAGCAAACCCGCTAACAAAAAACATGCTAACAGAAAACATGCTAACAGAAAACAAGCTAACAGAAAACAAGCTAACAGAAAACATGCTAACAGGAAACCTGCTAACAGAAAACATGCTAACGGAACAAGCTAAGAGGAAACCTGCTAACAGAAAACATGCTAACAGGAACAAGCTAAGAGAAAACATGCTAACAGAAAACAAGCTAACAGAAAACATGCTAACAGAAAACAAGCTAACAGAAAACATGCTACAGAAAACAAGCTAACAGGAAACCTGCTAACAGAAAACATGCTAACCGGAACAAGCTAACAGAAAACCCGCTAACAGAAAACATGCTAACAGGAACAAGCTAACAGGAAACCCGCTAACAAAAAACATGCTAACAGAAAACAAGCTAACAGCAAATCCGCTAACAGAATATATGCTAACAGAAAACAAGCTAACAGGAACAAGCTAACAGGAAACCGGCTAACAGGAAGCATGCGAACTGGAAACATGCTAACAGAAAACAAGCTAACAGGAAACACACTAACAGAAAACACGCCAACAAGAACAAGCTAACAGGAAACCCGCTAACAGAAAACATGCTAACAGGAACAAGCTAACAGAAAACAAGCTAACAGGAAACCCCCTAACAGAAAACATGCTAACAGGAACAAGCTAACAGGAAACCCGCTAACAGAAAACAAGCTAACAGAAAACCTGCTAACTGGAGCGGTAAGCCAGCGCCTCACCTGCGATCCGGATCACGGCCCGCTCCGCCGGATCCAGAACGTCCCCCGAGGCCGACCTGGACCGCTTCATGCGCTGGTGCTTCTGCAGGTTCCAGGGCAGCGTGTCGCCCGGCAGAGGGCAGCAGCCGCCGGGGGTCGAGTCGCTGGCGCTGTCCTCCGACGCGGCTCGGACCAGAGGCCGTCGCCGCGCCGCCGCGCCGATCTCCATGTTCTGGATCAACACACGGAGGGTCAAAGGTCACTGTGACTGCAGGTCACATGACCCGGTCCTGAAAGCTCAGCATCAGCACCAGCTCTGTAGTCTGGACCGGTTCTGCGCTGCTCTGCTCCCTGAAAGCGGGTCAGAACTCTAAACGGTTCCGTTCAGCCCAGATTTGATCCGGATCACCACAACCAGCCGGATCAGAACCAGTTCTGAAACGGCTTGCTTTGACCTTAAACCTCTGGTTCTGGGTCAGAAATGCTGAGTCAGCAGAAAATCGCCTCTGAAAAACAGAACGGTTCTGACCTGCAGCCCAGGTCCAGATACCAGAACCAAAGTGACATCCAAAAGTTCTTCAGAATCAGAACCAGCAGAACCCTCTCAGTACCCGACCGAACTGAGTCTGGTGGTTCTGGAGCATGAGCCTCTGCCACCTTCAGCTGACCCTCATCGGGTTGAACTGGACTCTGATCCGGGTTCAGAACCTCCCGAACCCAGCGGGAGAAAGCTAAGGCTGCAGAACCCAACCTCACTCAGGCGAACCGGACCAGACCTGGTTCTGTTCAGTGTGCAGAACTGCCGCAGGTCCAGACGCCCCTCTGCAGCAGCCGCACCTGAAACCAGAACCGGCCTGAGCCACAGAGGCGACCCGGCTGGCTCAGGCACCGGTCCATTTGTGGTTCCGTGCTCCATCAGAACCGAGCCTCCGTTCGGCTGTACTCACGCTGCGGGCCGCGGGACTCCGGGTCCAGGTGAACCTCCGCAGCGGACGCTCCGCGGCGCAGCCTTCGCCCTACCTCAGCCCGTCCGGACCGGGACTCGAACTCCCACCATCCTCCTCTGCAGAGGCGGCCGCGCCTGCGCACTGCGGCTTCTTACCGGCGAGATGCTCCGGAGCTGGGACCGGGACCGGGACCGGTTCGACCAGCAGGCCCGGGGAGGCTGCTGCTGCGGCCCGCATTCCTGCCGGTACCGGTCCGGCTCAGCTGCCGCTAATGGACCGCATGCGCGTTCTTGTGAAGAGCCGTCTCATGCTGACGGGGGCGCGCATTGCCACTGCAGGTGTTGCTCGTTAAAGAGCCAGTCTGATCCGAGCAGCTGTTCAGAACCCGAACCGGTCCGGACTTTTAGCTGCTTTCCAGTCCAGTTTGTTCTGGTTCAGTTCACCAGACAGAACTTTATGAGGATCATG